TTGATGACATGGTCAGTCAGTAGATTAGGGGTTGAACTTCAACTGCCCTGAAAGCCTCAGCATTAGGCTGTCTAGACTGTCTGTTAGCCAGGAGGAAATGCCTTTCCACTGCACTGTTATGAAGAACAAGTAAGTAAACATTGCATTTGATTTAGAAGTACATGTGAGGTCAGTACTTATAAGAATATAGAGTAAAAAACAGACGACATATGAAGACACAAAAGAAACCAAGCAATTACTGAGGCAATACTGGAATTATCTTCTTTACTGTCATCAGTGTAATTAAAATTAAAATCCACAGTGGGGCTGCGAGGAAGCATTACAGCTCAATTGTCCCCTTTTTGAAATAAAATCTCCCCGGGCTTGTTGCGTTAAAAGCTACAGTGTCCTCTCCTCTCAAACATACTATCTGGTAAGAGGAGAAGAGCAGAGAAGGCTTGGTAATTGGGGCTGTACAGTAATAATGTGTTTAGTGTGGGCAGCACTTTCCTCAGTGTTAACATGCTGGGCCATTAATTGGCTAATGGAGTATATATGGTACAGCGCGGGGGGGGTCTCTCAGGAGAAAGTGGGGGGAAGGAGAGGAGTTGGAAGTGGAGCAGTTGCAGGTTGTCCAAGAAGAACGCAGTTTGCAGGTGTGGATGTAGAGTAAGGTTTGGAGCTAATGAGCATATTACTGAGCAGAAAAATGGCTTCCAAATTGGCACTCTGTTTCCTACAAAATGCATTTATACACCACTCATCTTCTTGTTGTTTTTCTGAACCTCAGTGTTAAATTTAGGCTACTAAAAGTCGGTTACCATTAGGAAAAGATCATGATTTTTAATAATTATGAAAGACAGCTACCGATTGCACCTTGTACCTTAAGTCAGAGTTTGAGAGACTCAAAGTATAGCCGAGGGTAATAGCAATGTCATTAGTTCTGCAGGTTTGGTCACAATCCAAAGTATTGAACAAGTAAAAATCACTCAATGAAAAGGATGAACAAGGTTTTTACAGTTCATCCTAGGGGGAACATGAATATCTGTATCCACCCAAAAGTTGCCAAGACAGGTGGCACTAGTTGACATTTTTAGGATTCATAAGTGAATCATTTGAATATCCTAACACACATCTGCTCGTGGTGCTTGATGTTTATAAAGGTCATAGGATCACCAAATCTTACTCACCAATCAGTAAGATTCATTGTCTGGGGGATCACGAATGTTGGTACCAAATTTCATGGCAATCCATCCAATAGGTATTGAGATATTTCCGTCTGGACCAAAGTGTTGGACCAACAGACTAACAAACAGACCAGTATTGCCATCCTCAGAGCCTTGCCACTAGCATGCCTAAAATGTAATTTGGGTGGCATTTTCTACAAAACACATTTTCTGATGCAAATTAGATGCATTGGAATGTAATTTTTAGGTGCCAAGGTTGCTAAATTACTTGTAGTTTCATTCTTGACACATCAATAGGACATAGGACATAGAGCAGAAGATATGCACTTAGGAATGTAGCAATCAAATCTCAGCTTGCCACAGAGAGACACACTGCCAACCGGCCAAGAATGGAAACTTAACACCGTATGAAGGTCCAGCTTTTCTGTCTGACAGTCAGAACAAGTTGGAATAGGCCTCTTACTGTAGACTGACAGGTTTGGATTGTAGACATGTTTTCTCCACAAACACATGGACCACAAGTGTTGTGAAGAATTGAAACAAAAGCTTATTATGAAAGTTGACGAGTCTATAAAAGCAACAAAGTTACAGCACAAAATCGACCAGATGGTAATGACGCAAATGACAGCATTAATGACTCACATCTTTGGTATTTTTGCTTGTTATTATCCTTTTATTGAAGTGCACCTATTAGCTTTATCCATGTCAGACTCCCGAGGCCTGGAAGAGAAGTCTCTATCTTTTAGCCTCATGTCGCCAGTCTAGCCAAGGCCATTATCTCGTCCTAAATGTCAATATTGCCGTTTTTATGAATCTGATTAGTCCATAAAACGCCAGAGGGTCTTGAGATCCCAGCGGACTTCCGTGAACCTGTGGTAACATCATTGTCTGGTCCTTCCTGGCAGAGATCTGACATCACTTTAGCCAGATGGCAGGTGAAAGGGCTTCTGGGAATTAGTGTCTTTCTCCATGTGACGCTTGTTTTCTATTTACTGACAGAGCAAGCTTAAGTGAGACCACACTGTGTGCATGTCACTGTGCTGTTAGGTGATCATTTTCATATTGTACTTGGTCCGCGACAATGCAAAAATACACCAAACCAGCTTAGAGGCTTTATAAATGACTGCATATCATGCAACATTGCATCAGGCTTCCATCAAAATCTCATTCCGCAGATAATGCTGAGAAAATGGGATTTTGGACGGCTAAAAATAAACAAGGGAGTCTATGAGTAGGATGTGGGAATTGGGTTAATCCGGCACTGAAAAATGGTGATTGTTTGAAATGTGATTACTGTTATTAAAATACACAGACATGGAAGAGGGAGTTAGGCTAGGGGGGATTCTAGCTCTGTTCCAAACCTGTCAATCATCTGTGAGGAGCAGCGGTGGGGGGTCAGAGGTCAGTTATGACCTGAGGTAATAGGGAAGTCTAGCACCAGTGGGAGGTAGCGTGCTTGTATGCGTGTGTTACCCTACAGCAGGGATACAACATCTGGAACCAGTGAGCAGTCTGGTGACTGCTGCCAGGGTCACCGCAGTGGGAGGTCAACTCCCCCTATCCCCCTGTCCTCAGCCCTTCTCCTCTGTACTCCCCACTGTCCACTTCCCCGCTCCTAAAATGCCAGCTCTCCCTGCTCCCATGCAGCACCATGACTGAGTCTTGTTAGATGCGGACAGATGGGCATTCACATGGAATCATTCTCTGAGTCAGGAAAGGTCCTGTGAAAGACTCTGTTGTGTGGAAGTGGTCCTGCGGAGTGGAACAGCATAGAGGGAGAGGAAGGGGCGGTAAGGAGAAAGACGAGGTCTGACTGTTTTCTTCTTACCTTGTCTTGTTAGAGGACCTGAGGCATAAGATTAGTACACTCGTATTGGTCCTGTAATGGCTCATGAAAAGCCATATTTTTCAATACAGCTTGGCTTTCAATGAAGCAGAAAACATTTTTCTTAATCCTCCTTCCATGTTACTTAGGAAAAGAAAGCCACTTTCAAAGTTTGAGGAGGTCTTCCTCAGGTCTCGACTGATCAATATCTGAGATGAAACCTAAAAGTTAAAATGCATCTGTAAGCCTCTCTGAATCCATGACAGGATATTATAGTGTTTTTTCTCTCTTGATCCTGTGCTGCCTCCTTACGGCACATTTTTTATGCCACTCATTACCTCAAATACCATAAAGTATATTCTAGTTTCTCTTTCTAGGTACGTTAGTATTCACAAACAAACGCATGTAATTCACAAGTTATCATCTTGTATTGTATATTATATTGTATTAAGGCTTCTTGATTATCTAAAACTTTTTTTACTCATCAAATGTATTTGCATCATTTTTTAGGATGTGGTGGCTATTAGTTAAATAAAGCATACAAAGTATGATCTTATCTTTCTGTAAAGTTTTATTCAAGTCATTCATGAATGGACTCAATGCAATCGTCACACACTCGTATATTTAGGCTTGAAAGAGTAACCATTGAAAGAAGCAGTATCATTTTATCCCTGTTGGTGTGACACTCTAACACAGTTACACATTCCTGAGTTCTTGGGAAACAAACAGTTTGGCGCGACATTGGGTCTTATCATGTCCTTGGCTTCTCAGTGAAGTCTCACACTGTTTACTTGGACATAGAGTGTAGTTAAAAACAGGGTTAAAGGTTATATGCATATAATGGCCATTTTAACAGGTTGTGTATGGTTTTACAATGACCAGATCAAAGGGTCATGTAGGCTCTTAAAAATTGCCATTAATGGTTTTAAAAATATTTTTTCCCAATTTTGCTGGATGATTTATAAACTAAAAAGACATATCACACTTTTTCTCTTCAATGTGTGCACAGGATCCAGGCCAAGACACGGGAGCTTCGGGAGAGGCAGGCAAAGGAGAGGGAATATGCTGAGATCCAAGACGTTGTCAGCCGCACGTTCAGCTCAGATGAGGAACACACCTACGCTGGCATCGAATCATTAGACTCGTCGGTGGATAGCAGCAGCATGGACCCTTACAATCACCACTACCATCTTCCTCAGAGTCCCCAGAGTCCTCACCTCCCCATGAGCCTTCCGGACAATGGTCCACCCCTGGAAGCTCTGTATGCCCAGGTCAACAAGCCACGCAATGGATGCCCTGCAGCTCCAGACAGGTAGGGGGCGCCCAAAAAATAATCCATACGCAGTCGTTGCAAGGCTGTTGACACAACACACACATCCACAATACTCAAGGCAAACAGTGTGCTTCTATCTCTCTCATTCATTCAAACGACACTAACTAGCTTTGTGCCTTGTGCTTATGCTGTGCAACAATCTCATTCATCTACACCTCATCTATAATGTATAAGCAGCGCTGTGATTGTATTTGTTAACTTTTAGTTGTCATGGGTGACACATGCACAGAAAAACAATGAATTTCACACAGTATTTTATCACTGACTCGTCCCTCAAGGCATTGCCCCGTGCAAGCAGGCAGAATCACCAGGCAAGGTAAAACAACAAGAGCATATCAGTAATTGTTCATGTGTTAGAATTTAATATGAGGCAGTCTTTTTTTTCATTATCCTTGGATCACAGGTAATCCTCCCTGGCCTCTCACACACCTTTTTCAGAGAGTCACACTGCATGTGAGTTCACCTTGTTTGTCGCTGGGAGGCTGTATCGCTCATAACCTCCATGTCAACACGAATATTTGATGTGACGACAATACCATGCAGCGTTATAGTTTCATATTACTGTGTTGATAGCCTATTGCCAAAAGGCCCATGTAGAGTTACCACCTGTTTTTATTCATCTAGTTATTCACTTTTTAGCTCCAGTGAATGGGAAAGTATCCATAGTTTCTTATGTTGTGATTGAAAGTGACTTAGCTAGTTACATTCTTCCCCAAAGGCCCAAAAGAGCTTACTTTCAACTTAAGCGTTTCATACAATGTTGCATCCTCAACAAAGTCCAACTAACAATCCACAAAACCTAAATCTATTCAACGTTGGCAAATGCAGCGAACCAGTGTCTGCCAGTGAAAATCGTCGACAAGAAATTTTGATTTTGAAATGGATAAAGCAATATTAAGATGCCTACAATCTCTTAGCCACATCAACAGTGTTGTGCATTTTAATGTTACATTTTATGTTTCTTATATTTTTATTTATCTATAGTAAGCTGCACATCTTGTTTTAAAATAAATCCAAGCTTTTACAGCCAAAACTTTATTTTTGCTTTAATGCCTCTGCCGAATCGGAGGTGTTATGAGGGCTACAGATTTCCTGCAGGTCATATCCAGTGGTGACAATTCAGGAGATTTCTGTCCCCACGGTCTCCCAGAACCTTTCAGGGTGTTATTAATGGATCGGATAATACCCACCTCCTGTGATTGACAGCTGTCACTTGGGGGCTTGTGACCTTTCACTGCTAAGTTCAGGTGGGGTGGGGTGCATGTGTTACTGTGTGTGACCAATACAGAGCACCTCTGTGTGAGTATGTGTACGTTTTTTAAGAGGATTTACCGGGGTAGAATCTCCATCCTGTAACACCACCCCACAACAGTCAGAGTAGATATGACAAGGTTATCTGGCCCCTATGATAGACGGCTAAATCCATGTGCCAATACATCCAGGGCTTAGTGAAGGCCACATCCATATGTCTAGAGTAAAGGTTACCTCTGCATGTTTCCTCAGGATAGCCTTGCTGTGTCATAGCAGCTATCTACTGTAAACTGTCCCACTTCCGAAGCAGAAGTTGATGATAAGCCTGGAAGCTAGTTGAAAGAAAAAAGACAATGCTTGAGTGGTGTTCATTGAGCCTGTGTATTCAGATCACAAGACTCCAAGATGTTGGTGAGTGATAGACATGATGCTATTGATTCTCAGTAGGAATATCAATATGCTGTATGCAGGGATATAGTATAAAAGCCTTAACATAAGACAACCCTGTGAGTGGTTAGTCTCTTTTTAGTCTCCTTCATTGCCAGAGGAAATATAAATAGCAATCTGCTTAGTAGCTCTCACAGAAAAATAAAGAGAAAAAAAGAGTTATGCAAAGTACCTCCTGCATTAGGGGTCTGACTGTAAACATGCATTGTTACTAAGATAGGACTGAAAAGAAAAATATTTTTTCTAATTGTTTTGGTCGCTTAGGTTTATTCACATTTAACCAAATTTCCATCAGAAAGCTGTTCCATATTTCTGTGTTTTGTCTTACAAATTGGAATAATATTGTTTTATACTGGAAAAAAATATAATTTTACTATTTATTAGGTTGTCTCTGAAATTTATCGGTTTCAAAACAAACAACATGAAAAGAACCTGGATTATCTTCTCCTTCCTGCTCTCTTGTAGCAGTTTCTTGGAAATAGTGAATTCTCACCTTCACAGTTTTATTATTTCGGCATAAAAAGCTTAGTGTTGCATGTTAATTATAAATACAAGCTTATATTTAGTTTGGGGTCTGAGCCCTAGGTATTGATAGTGCAGTATGGAGTTTTATTTGCAGGCACGGGATTAGCTGTCGTGAGTGTTGTGATTTGATTTGAAATATGCGCTGCATGTTCAACACTGCATTTTTGTTTTGCACCTCCAGCTGCTTTGCATATCTTGTGTATGCCAGCCCGGCTGTATGCCTGTAATATTTGTCTTGCTGTCTTTGAGATATAATATGCACTGCTTCTTATTTAGCTCAGAGGCTTTCTATTTACAATTTGCAAAAAGTAGTTTGAAACACATTCAGACTCAAGACTCCTGTCACTTGCCTATCATAACAAACGTAAACAGTAATTTGCATTTCTAAATTAAACTTAATGGATCTTTCATTGTCAAATATAAAGCGCCAACACGACATAATTTGCAATCACTTCTGACTGTTTCATGTATCAAGACAGAAAAATTGGATTCTGAACTTTTCTTTCGCCATTTAGATCCAGTTTGACTTACAATTTCTTCACTTTCTAATCCTGCCGCTGCTACTTAACCAAATATTTTGGAGCTGTAGAGATAACACAAATTTCCTGTTTGAAGGTCAGGAAAAAGGAAGTAGATGAGGATAGTTTAGGGCAGCCTGCTCATTCCTGGCTGTCAGTCAGTCTTCAGTATGAAAGAGAAGCCTGAGTAGCATTTAACCCTGATGTGGATACTGTTACTACCTTCTGAGGTGGGCCCTGGGGAAACACACTCTGATCAAAAGGGCAGATTAAAGATCGTATTTTACATAGATATTTGAGTTATTTTCTAGCAGAGTTGAGTCCCATGGTCAAACATCTGACAGCGAGCAAGCAGCTTGTAATACACCTGAAAGAACCTCTCACCACATACAAAATCTAATACATTTATTTTAAAATATCACAATGTCTATAATCTGATTTATTGTGATTGCCAGTGCTGGCTGACTATAATGGAAACAGGCTACAGTGTGTACCAATGCATCAGTTCAACAAATAAAATAATACCAAAAGAAGTTTGAGATTTGAGTCTTTCAAGTGGTACAGAGAAGATTTGTTTGTTTTTGTTGTACGTTTTAAAAAAGGACATGTATAGAATATGCATATATACACAAAAACAAAGCAAACCCAGCACTCTTGTTTGCTAGATGCCAATATCTCCTACATCAGAAAATATTATTGTATGGTGATATTACCATGGTGCAAGCCATCTCTTGATTATCATATGACCTCTAGAAACATGGCACAACTGCACAAATCTTACCTTGTAAAATTGGTTCCAGGGTAGTCAGTAGATGGAAGTAAATTGAATTGGAATTAGCTCACAGTGTTCCTTTATTTTTTGGTCATTGCCGGGAAAAAACATGCCAAATGCTGAACAGGGGCAATGTGTGTTGGAGGATGACTACACTCAAACTAATCAGTATCTAAAAGCCACCTTGTCAAACATTCACATAGCTGGAAAGACATCTAACAATGCTGGTGTACCCAGGAGTCTAAGTTCCCATCAGTTTGTTTACTCTACACCCCTCGGTGCTGTCATTACAACACAGCATTTTAGTCAAATGGAAGAAGGTTCTTTAGATCCAGTCAACTAATTAGAGACACTTAGGGGCCCTTTGGTTGATTTGGGGGGGGGTGCTCCTTTTTTCAAGGAGGTGGGGTCCACATGCCTGCAATTGCCAGATACTCTACATTATAGTTTTGCATCTTGGACTCTTTTTATGCTTTATGTGTTTATACACATGTGCATTCATTTTATGCCATAATAAAGGCATTCACTCATGACTCGCCAAGGCTTTCAAAGCTGTACTCTTGTTTATCCACTACAGTTAATAAGAAGAGGCTGCAGCTGGATAAATAGCCTGGGTATACGCCTCTCTCTCTGATAGACCTTTGGTAATGGAGCCCTAATGGGAAGGTCACTGTGACTGTAAAGCTGGAATGAGTCAGACCTGAGCCTATAAACCCATGGAGATACAAGGACCCCTGGTTGCTGTGGGCGTCCAGAGATCCTGCCCATTCTGCCGTATCAGGTTTTACTGTTCCTCTACGGGATCACGGTACAACAAGAGCTCATTTGACAATTTATTACCAGCCTCAACGTTATTAGAGCTGGCAGCACCAGTGGTGTTTTGACAATGCTGTCAGACTCTGTAAAACTGAAGGGCACCAATAGAAATACAGGATTTATTCATGGTCAGTTTTGTTAAAATCTTATATAAAGCTAACCTAAATATCCTTTTCACCCTAAAACCTGTAGCTTGAATTCTGCTCTATTAGTGAGTTTACATGAAAGTGAGCCAAATGCTAACACCTGAACAAAGTGTTTTCTTTTTCAGTTGTTTTTTTTCACCTTATAAAAAAGTAGACCTAGCAAAATAGAATGACCTCATTTCTCGACAGGCAGCTGACAAGTCAACCCCTCCATCTGCTGAGGGACCATGGGGTTTGGGTGACTGCCGTTGGATGCCGCGTTTCAGAACGACAACCTGACAGGTGCCAGTTTCGATGGGATTTGTGGGAAGCGAGCGTGAAACAAAGCATCACCTTTGAAACTGCAATTTGATTGACTGCTGCTCCCATTACCCAGTCGAGTTTCTAAAGCTCCTTAGAGCATGGGCAAGGAAGAGTCAGAGAGACACAGAGAGGAAGAGGTGGGGGGAAGCAGGGAGAAAAAGATACGGAGCTCATGGAGCTCAGCAGTGCAAAGCCCTTGAA